GATTTCATGGCTGATTTTGCCTTATTTCGCGACGCACCAGGGTGATGTTGAGCGTGATTGCGTGTGATTGTGTTCGGAAAGAAATGATTTCGGACTGATTTGGCCTGGTTTCGTGTGATTCTGCCTAATTTCGGTCGATTTTAGTGATTTTGGCAGATTTCGGATTGCTTGATTTCGCGTGATTCTCAATGATTCGCGTGTGATTTCGGGGGCCGTGTACACATGATTGCGCGAGTTTTTGTCCCCTCGACTGATTCCGAGAGTCGCCCTGTCTCTGTTGCACCTACGGGACGCCCCTTTGAGTGTGAGAGAGACAGAGTGACTCTCGGAGTCAGTCAGGGATGGACCTGGGGAGGGCGAGGGTCTCGCGTGAGCAGCACGACGGCAAGGCGGGCACGCCAGAGAGTGACAGACACACTGTCGGACAAACCGCGGCCACCACGGACGGGCACGCTGCAGCAGCGCGGCAACCTGGGCAGTCTGCAGTTTTCCCATTTGGCTTCGATTGGTTGTGGTGGCTGCGGCGGCACCTGCTAGCCGCGCCACCGCCACCACACCGTCACCACCGGGGCGCCGGCGCGTGCCGCCGCGCTCTGCTCCACTGAATGCGACATCGGTCCCTCGGCTATTCCCGACACCGCGCCCACGCAGCTACGCTGGTAAAACTGAAGCTTGAGTCGCACGCCCTCTTGCAACCGTGGAACTCCGCTAAGACCTTACGCCCTTCTTGAAGTGCAGAGTAGTCCACTCTCGGTTTCACATTGGCATGGGACTTACCTCTCTCGATTGTGTTGGGGCAGCCTGAGGGGACGAGGGCCTTCACCGAGGCGGCGCGGCGCGGCGCGGCGTGGCGCCAGAGAGAGAGCACCGACCGGCAGCCACAACAAGTTGGTCGAGGAACCGCATCCAAACGCGTCCGCGCTCGGAATAAACCCCTCAAATGTCATCGGGAGAGAGAGAGGGAGAGAGAGAGACGAGAACGGTCGGAGTGCCGCGGCGCGTCCTCAGCAGGATGTCACCCTGCCTGTAGCGCTGCGGCGGGCGCCGTGCCCGCGCCCGCGAGAGGCCGCGGGATCCCCGGAGGGCCCGGAGGGAGCGAGAGCCACCGAGCCGCCGCGGTACGCACCGTACTGTACACTGTGGGCGAAGGACGCCCCGCGCTGCCTGCCGAGGGCTTGCCGAGGGCTTTGCCGAGGGCTTGTCGATGGGGTGACGGGGTGGCGGGCTATGCCCGCCTGCCTGGCTTGGCCTGGCTTGGCCTGGCTTGGCCTGGCTAGGCCTGCGCGGCGGAAAAGGCCGATGGCGATTTTGTTAGAGGTCGGCGCTCTTCGCGCCCTTTCGGAACGCCCGAGGGCACGCCCACAACGAGTGTGACAGAGATGGAGCGACATATGGCGATGATCGCAAGGAAAAAAAGTATACACCACAAAACTATATAACACATCGTGGCAATTTCTCAGCAGGTTTTTGTTGTGCTTTCAATTATTGTGCACATTTTAATGCGTTTTGCCAAGATGTACGAGTGAATTTTCAAAGTTTACATTGCTGTACAAAAATCAATTCTTCACTACAAGTCGAACGAAAAATGTCAATACATTTCAGGTGTGGATGGAAAATAATAATGATATTGAGCTTTAAAAGTGCTAGAGCGGTCAAAAAGGCTTATTGGTACTTTTGGCGCTCAATATCTTTAATAATTCCTATCCAAACTTCCTACACGTGCTGAGATATTCTGCTTGTCTTGTCGAGACGAGTTCATTTCTGTAAAACGATGTCAGTTTGGGCAACTTTGCAACTTCACCGAAACTCCTTGGAAAAGAGACATCCGTACTTTAAAAAATCCTCGATTCACACTTTTTCTTCCGGTGTGCAGGTAGAGAGAGAGAGCGTTGTCAAGCAATTTGCCAAGCGGAGCAAAAGCGTTTGCCTTTCACGTGTGCCACCATTGAGGGCGTCGCGTCGCGAGGCGCGGCACGGCGCGGCACGGCACGGCGTCGAGTGCCTCTCCGTAGACGGCATGCCGGGCGATGCCGGGCCCCGTGCCGGTGATTGCTGTGCGTTCTGGAAGTCCCGGATCGGAAGCCCCGGACTTGCCGAGACTTGCCTCCCCTTTCTGTCATCTCGCCGTACAAGCACCCATAACGGGCGGTACACAATTCGAGGGGTCCTATTCAAAAGATCTTATCTGGGCGTTCCCCCGAAGACAATCTTATCTTAAACGCATGTGGATTTTACATAGTTTGATCATTTGGTACAGCTACTTATCAACATAATTTGAGAGTTTGATCGCGTGAATCTAAAGATGGAAGTGCAAAGAAACCAAAAGTGCATGTAGAAATGTGTTTCGCTTGTCGTCCTATTTATTCTGGTTGATCAAAATGTGCGAAATCTGCAGGCGTTTAAGATAAGATTGTCTTCGGGGGAACGCCCAGATAAGATCCTTTGAATAGGACCCCTCGAATTATGATTGGAGAAGGGGTCGACAACTCCCATAACCTCGCGAACTTGCGGTGCTGCAAAGGCGCTCAAAAATCTGTACCGCCTTTCTGTTGGCGGTAAAATTTGGAGCCCGCCAATTACGAGCGTACAAAGCGTATACGTCGAGCCAGGCCGTGCCAGGCCGTGCCAGCCGTGCCTGGGGCCGCCCGGGCCTGGCTGCCAGGCGCGGCCCGGCACTGGAGCCAGGCCGCCTGGGCCTCTACGCCCCTCTCCCCCTTCCACTCACAGATCTGGCAGGACAGTCCCGCCTTGAGCGGCTTTCTCCAAGGCGGTGTCGTGAACAAGCGGCTCCCCGGCCCGGCCCGCCCCACCCCTCCGCGCCCCACCCCGCCACGCCCCACTCCACCATGGCCCGCTCGCTTCGTAAGCGTAGACCGGCGTAGACGGTCTAAAGGGTAATTGGCGACCCTACGTAACCTTTGTCAGGTGTCGCTTTAACTTTAATTTTGAATCCATGGCTGAAAGATCGCAGCTGAAACAGTCACTCAACGCAAAGCCAATGACGTAATCGTATGAGACAAATTACGGAGCTGACCGACCAGCTGATGCGAGCTTTGCAAAATGTCACCTTCCTGGACTCCTGAAGCTTGTCTCTGGATCGTCCTGTCGGGTGTGCGCGGGCCGCGTGGCGGTAAATTTAAGAATGAAACACCACACTGTGGCAAAAAGGTACGGAAAATTCTGTTAATTTTTTTGCCAGGATTCTCCGTAGCCCTCTTATCAATATTCTCCGTAGGCTCTTACAGTATTCTCCGTAGGGCCGTACAGTATTCTCTGTAAGAGCCTACGGAAAATACTGTAAGAGCCTACGGAGAATATTGATAAGGGGGCTACGGAGAATTACCACAAGCTGTTTACAGAATTTTCCGTAGCTTTTTGCCATAGTGCAGAGTTTACGCAGTGCTGTAACTGGAACGGTTCTCACCGCGGATCTCTTTTGCGGTGTGCGGCACGCTTAGCTCGTTCCGGGCAGTGCCGTACTTCGTGGCGCTGCTGCCGCTGCTGTCTCTCGTTCGCTCGCGCCTCCGTGGACCGCGGAACGCGGTGCGAGAGAGATAGCGTGACGCGGTACAGCACTTGAGAATGAGACGGCGACCTTGCCGACTGACGTGTGCTGCGGTATGCGGTATATAGCGTCGCGACGTCGCAGCGTCCGCCAGTGCTCCACCGCCCCTCTTCAAGCCGTCCGATGTTTTCCTCGTTCGTTATTTTGATCAAAAGATTCAATCTTCCTCTCTTTCCTCCCTCTGTGTGTATCTGTGTCTCTCTCCAAATTTTTTAAATAATTGGGAAAGGGAAGTGGAGCATGATGTTGTTCGTCGTCTCAAGGAGTATGAGACGAGCGGGAACAGTACCTAGACTGGTTCCAAGAGTCGTTTTCGTTTCGTCTTTCTGTCTCTTTCACACTCGCGGAGCGTCCCGTTACCGGTGCCACAGAGACAGACGCACGGCGACTGGCGCGGCCCCACGCGGCCCCACGCGCCTGGCCCCGTGCAGGTGGGCAGCCCAACGTACGCCCGCGCACACTGCGCGGCGCTGCGCGGCGCTGAGGTGGTGGGCGGAGTGCCGGCTCCCATCCAGTCCAGAGCATGCTCGCCCGCTTAGTTTCGTCTCGAATCATAATTACTGCCCAGAAGCCTTTTCGCTCCCAAGTGAATAGGCTTCGTGGAAGAACTATGCGTCTTAACCGAGAATGCTTTGGATAGGAGCTCTCCAAAGTGCTTCGCCTCCCTGGAACCACCCCACCCTAGTCCACACACCGCTCGCTCCGCCGCCGCCCTCCGGGGCCATCAGGGGATTATGCTCGCGCTTGGTAATTATCGGCGAAACAATTCGATTTTGTTCGTCACTCATCGACCATCTCCCGGCGTATTTTATACTCTCGACGCCGAGGAGTGGCGCGCGACAATCGCACCAGCTTCCTGACGAGGCGCAGGGGAGAGGGCGAACCGGGCGAACCGGGTGGAGCGGTGTGAAAGGCCAAATCACTGCGTCCGTCGCGTTTAGCGGTGGTGTGCTGTGCTGCTTGGCCGCGTTGGGGCCTAGCACTCTGCCGGGACTCTTCCCCCTCAATTATTTCTTTGCCCTTTAAACAGTCTTTCCACTTTAGCTTCCTCCTTGTTTTGCATGTTATTTTGGCACCTTTGACACCAACATATTGCAGGGTAGATTGCTTAGCAATACGTACGTAAGAAATGGCGCAAAATGCATGTCGGGCACACTCAAGGAGTGTTACAAAGGCAGCTGCGACATAAGCTTTCTATATTGCTAGCTAATATACATCATCTGCGGAAAAGTTCTAAATGAAGTTCGGTACCATCAGTTTTGGGATTTGTGTGATTTTAGAACTATCTACCCCTTTAAGCCCCTGAATAGCAAAAGGCAGTTGCCTTTGTGTCTCCAGTATATGGCAACACTACTGGCCGGTGACCGGCCCTCGAACGTGGGGTAGTGCCTGCTGTGTCTATGTGCGCGGAGTATTGACGTCGTGTCTGTTGCAGACGGGGTCATGATGGCTCCCAGCGTGGCGGCGCCCGTGTCACGCGGTGCCCTCGCCAGCGCCGACCCCCGCGCCGCCCCCGGCACCGCCGCCGCCGCCCCGGCCGCCCCCAGCTTCTTGCTCACGTCGGACGAGCGTGCCGACGGCGGCCTGGACTCGGCCCTGGGGGGCTCCACCTCCACGGACAAGGGCAACAACAGGTGAGTCTAGCCGCGTTCGGCCAAGCTCGGCCCTTGCCACTGCACTGTAACGCACACCGTTCCGCTCACCGGCCGGCCCAGCCCAGGCTGTGCGAAGTGACACCCTAGACCTGCGGCCAGGACCACTCGCCAAAATAAACGGGAAAATCCTGGAAAATGCCTTTGTCGAAGCCTTGACTTTCAAACTGATGAAATTTGCACTACCTGCCGGGTACTCCGGATGGAGACACTGGAAGTTTTAAAATTTCGTGAAGAGCAAGGTTTTTTGGCAGTCGGGTCGAACGCCGCGACGTGGCCGTGGCCGTGCTGGCGGCGGTGCGTGTTTCCTGCGGTTTCCGTGACTCTGGTTACAGTTTGGTACCATTTGGTACCGGCCGGCCGGCCGCATCGCAACCCCACCTCGCCCCACCGCGCCCCAACCCGCCCCGCGATGCCCCGCCATATGCTAAGCGGGTCCGCTCTGAGCAATATTTCTCCGATTTCTAGCAACGCGTTGCAAGGTTTCCCCAGGTCTAAAAATCCGCTACTTAGGGGTAGAATTCGCGTCCGCTTAGAACGGGATCCGCTACCCTACACCGGATCCGCTTTTATACAGGATCCGGTATCGAAGCGGATCCGGTGAGTGGTAGCGGATCCCGTTCTAAGCGGACGCGAATTCTACCCCTAAGTAGCGGATCCACTGTCATTACAGCGGATCCGGTTGTCACCACGGCGGATCCGCTGTCACCACAGCGGATCCGGTTGTTACCACAGCGGATCCGGTGTCACCAAAGCGGATGCGGTCACCACAGCGGATGGCCTAAGCGGATCTTTTATGATCTTAGTGGATCCTCTGAGCAAACATGAAATCTTTATTTGGAAAACTACCAAAGGGATTTGAATTTTGAAAAGTGAACTCCTGCATAATGAAACCGAGTCCGATCCAAATCTGCAATCCGTTTCTCGCTATCATCAGCGGTTTACAAGATAGCGATATCAAGTTGTTCGATTGCAATGAAATTCAAATGGCCCTAGTGAATTCTCTTCAATATACCCTGTATAAATTTTGAGGTCAAAATTCCTAAAACTGTGGAGTTTGTAGCCACTTCATTTTGGAAAACTCACAGTGGATCCGCTTAGGTTAGTGGATCCGGTAAGCGCTCAGTGGATCCGGTATTGCTCTAAGGGATCCGGTATGGCTTAATGGATCCTGTACTCACCGGATCCTCTCCTCTGCGGATCGTAGAGGATCCGGTGTGGCCCAAGCGGATCCGCTGTGACCCCATAGAGGATCCACTAAGCACTTAGAGGATCCACTACGGCCGCAGTGGATCCCGTAAAGTCGCAGCGGATCCGCTCCAACCAAACCGGATCCGCTGTCAACAGAGCGGATTTTTAGACCTGGGTCCCCGCAGATTTCTGCCTTGTGGGGAACAATGGACGATTTGTTGCCGGCCCAGCCAGGGCCCAGCCCGACGGTGCCCCTTCCTCGGAGACGAGAGAGATAGAGCGACGAGGACGAGAGGAGCTGAGCCACAACATCACCACTCAATTTCCCCCCCCCCCCCCCCTCTTTCTCTCTCTCTCTCTCTCTCTCTCTCTCTCTCTCTCTCTCTCCGGTTCGGGCGTTTTTCCGGTGTTTTATTTGGCATTTTTCAACGAGAGCGCGCAATCCGTTTTCAAACTCGAGGTGGCGGCGTCGCCCCCCTCCCTCCCCCTTTTTTCCTCAAAATCCCCGTGGTACTCGCAGCGCGGCGACTGCCACGCCACCGCCTAGTTGCGCAATCCGAAAGAATGCATCCCGTTGTGGCCCGGCGACATAGCCCTGATAAATTGCCCCCCTTCTTACCTCCGTTCGTCTCGGGACGACAAGGGCACGATTCGTTGTTGGCGTCCGTGTCAGGGCGCTACTTTCCGAGCACCGTAAGGCCGTCACTGAACTATCAATGGCCCCGCGACGCGAAGACAGCCCGAGATCACTTCGTAGGTACTATTCTGAGTCAATAGTAGGGAATCTTAGTCAATTACCTAATTCCTATATCGGTTGTAGTGCAAATACATTTTCGTATGTGGTTTGGGTTTTTGCAATACGTATGAATGTTTTCAAAATTTTATTACTTTTTATTTTAATGATCAAGAGTTAATATGACAGTCGTGCTGACAACATTTGGTGGACGCGGGTGGACGTTAAATAAAACACATCACATGCTCAAGAATAGTTGACCACGTCATTGCAACCATGGGCGCCATGGGACAAATTTCTTATTAACGTGAACCCAAATCGAGAATTGGAAAAGACTATTAGTTAAACCGTACTCCCAGCTGTCCGGATGGAGGAGACTCAAAATGTCTTCTAGGGTATGTCTCAGGTCTTCCACGTGGTCATCCAGGAGTTGTTGGAGTTCATGAATGCGCTTTCCTAAATTATCAAAACAAAAAAGTGCCATTAAAAAGAAGGAAACGGGCACATTTTAAAAGGTCTTGAAACTTGATGGTCTGTAATTTGAGTTGTAGTCTGTAGTTTGAATATTGTGACTTATTAACTTTTTTCTCGAATGTTGACCATTTCGTCCAAATTTATTGTCTCGAAGCCTCGCTTTAAGCCGAGTGCTTTTTCCACAGCTCACTTACCCTCTGTCGGCGGGTGTAGGAAAGCAACTTTGTCCATGCCGAAAGAGGTCCTCTCCCCCATCTTGTCCAAAAACGAGTCCAGGAAGTCGCAGAGCACGTGCATCTCTGGCGGCGTCGAGAGCAGTCGGTCGACCTCGGACACGTAGAAGCCGACGGCCAGGCCGAGCCAGGCCAGGTCCACGAGCAGCGTCTCCATGGCGGTGGTGCTGCACTGGGAGGTCTTGGGGGCGGACTGATCCCGACCGATGTCTCGGCGTGCGCCAGGTGGACGCATTGGGCTGAGTCGCGCTGAGACCGCGAAAAACGACCCCGCGAGACGCGGCGAATGCGTCCATGATGCGCCACTGGCCCGCTTTGCCTGCCTTTGCCTGCCTTTGCCCCGCACAAGGTCCAGCCCAGCGCCCAGCTCCCAGCGACAACGCACCAAGGGGATGGTGCCTTTGGTGGCGACTACTTCGGCCAGTTTGAAAGTCTACTTACAGTGCAGACATGCCTCGTTGTGCACGCCACGTGTCGTGTCGTGCGCAGAACAGAAAATGGCACACTGTTGCCAATGTGGTTTTCAAGTTGCTAAATTTTTCTGCCAAGTTGATGTTGATACCGCCGCGTTTGACCAAACTCTTTCTTGTTTTTACCTGACACTTCTCGTGGACTTCCGGATCTGTCTGTCTGTCTTTCTGTGTCTCTCTCTCCCCCACGCCGACCTGACGCGAGCGCCTCCCTTTGTTGCAGCCGGTGCTCCAGTATGTCCGATGGCGAGAGTTACGAGTGCTACGGGGAAGGCGATGTAGACCCCGATTCTCCTGTCCAGAGGCGGCTGCACGGGTAAGTAAACCGGGCAACTCCCCCCACCCCTTTCTTCCCAGCCGCCGCACTGTACCGTGTCCGCGTGTGCGGTATGAGAAATTTCGCAATTGGCGCGTACGGCCACGACGATGCACTGAAAACGGCACGCTGTTGCAGGGACGGCAGGGACGGCGCGGACGGCGGCAGGGACGCCAACCGCAGCCCGCCCGGCCTCCGGAGAAGCACGTGGCAGCGGACCAGCCTGCGACGACCCCCCACCAGGTTGGTGTTGGCAGCCCTGCACTTCACTGTCAAACCGAGTGCGGAGAACTCACTTGAAAGGTGGAGGTGTGCCATTTTCAGTCTCCGCACTTTGTAAAGTGTAAAGTCTCCACACTTCAAGTGTATGGGCTCTGTGAGCCACTCCTCACTTAGTAGTGTCGAGACTGCAAACTCCACACGTCCAAGAAGTGTGGAGGATCACTCCGGACAGGAAGTGCTGAGGTCTCCACACTCGGTTTGACGATCTATCCGTAGTTATAACTGTTGCACAAAATTGTCTTACGGACCCGAGGAGTTAGCGTAATGTAATACCGCTGGTTTGTGCCCCGCAGCAACCCAGACAGCCTTCCCAACCGGAGATGGGGGTCCTTCAGGCAGTGAGTACAATGGCGCTTTCGCGTCTTCGATACTTCGTTCGTGGGGGCGAGGGAAACGAGTTACGGGGCTGCTGTTCTGTTTACGCAGGCCGAGGGGGTATGCACTCGTGTAATAGTCGGTTCACTCTATCTGTAATAGCACGCGAATAATACGCGTAATAGTCGCGTAATAGCCGAAATTGTCAAAATTTTATCAATTTTGGTGTGTTTTAGGCCGTTTTTAGCTAAATTCCGATTAATTTGTGGCGTAATAGAGCGTAATAGCTTAATAGTCGGTACACAGGTTCAGAGAGCGCATACCCCCTCGACGCACGCCGTATGACACCTTCGAACAGCCGTTAAACTTCTCAAAGTGACGTGAAAGTGGGTTGAAATTCATTCGGAAAGTCCAAAGTTGCCCATAATCAGACCCTGCGGTTTATAAATCGTACCCAAAGAGTCAGTGGGCTCTTCCTTTTTTTTGTCAGTCGAATGCTACGGCACGTCCTATTTATCCGCGAGGCGTGGAGGCGCAGCGAGGGTCGGGTCGTTTTCGTCGCTCTGTCTCTCTCGCAATCACGGGGCGTCCCATATGGGCGCGAAGGGGAATAGCATTGCACATTTAATGAGAAGTGGGCGGGCAAGCGCGTCACAGAGAACTGCCCCTTAATTGTTCGAGAGGTGGGATCGTTGGCTGCAGTTCTCAAGCGGTGTTTCCCTGTTTGCCGGCTCCACCTTGCGGAACATATGTCGACGGAATTAACGGACGACGACGGTTGGTTTGGCAAAAACAAAGCAGTGGCGGCTGTTTTTAATATGCAGCTGCCGCTGCGCTGCCTCACCGCCTCGGAAAGGGCGCTGGGTCAGGCGGCAAACTCGCGCCCTGCGACCTCCACAGCCGCACATGCTCGGTGCACTGTCAAACAAAGCGATGGAAGACAAAGGCGATTGGAGTCCCTAACAAGCGCGGATCCCGGTATTTTCCTGGGAGGGGGTAAAACACGGTTTTTCGTCCATCAGGGGGGGGGGGGGGAAATCAGGGTGTTTTACCTCCATCCGCGTGATGGTGCGTGTTGCCTACCTTCCAGGCCGAGGGGACCGATCTTGTACCCAAGGAGGGCGTAACTCGAGGAGTTACTACCCCCACTGCCCCTCCCCTAAAGTCGCGCCTGCTCTCTGCGTAAATTAGAAACCGTTTTTGCTGCGGCCGTTGTTTTGTACGTATCAAGGAGAAAAACTTTCGCTTCGCGATACGAAGCGTTTTTGTAGATTTCGCAATGCCTTCGTTTCCTTTGTCTCACGAAACGACTCTTCGCAGCCCTTTTTTGTGCGTGACACTCTTTCGCTCGGGCTCCAGCCTTTGGGGCGCTCGCCGAGAGCCTTGCCGCGCCGTGCGTGCGAGAGGGGCAGAGCGCCAAGGCACTGCTCGCCATCAGCCTGCTGGAGCGTGGCCCGGCGCACGGAACAGCGGACTCATTTCGAGAGTCGTCTTCGTCGCTCTGTCTCACCCTTTGATTGCGAGAGCGAGACAGAGCGACGGAAAAGGCTCTCGGGATCAGTCTGGTTGGAGCGTCTCGGGGGCTCGGCGGCGTCCTTGAGCAGCGGGCTGGACAAGCCGGGCCCAGCGGGGCGAAGCGGGGTGAAGCGGGGCCCGGCGGGGCCCCACGACGGCGCGGCGCCACCCCACACCATCCCCACCACGCCCCAGCTGGCCCCAGCCTGGCTGGGCGCCCGGCCTGGCTTGGCGTGAGCGCGGGGGCGGCTGGTCGCCATGGCGACGGCTATGTTGTGCGGGTGTCCTGTCCGGTTTGGCCGGCAGGGCCCAGCCAGCCGCGCCCCACGCCGCGCGCCACGCCGCGCCCCACGCCGCGCCCCACGCCGCGCCCCACGCCGCGCCCCACGCCGCGCCCCACGCCGCGCCCCACGCCGCGCCCCACGCCGCGCCCCACGCCGCCCCCATGCCGCGCCCCACGCCGCCCCACGCCGCGCCCCACGCCGCGCCCCACGCCGCGCCCCACGCCGCGCCCCATGCCGCGCCCACGCCGCCCCATGCCGCGCCCCACGCCGCGCCCCACGCCGCGCCCCACGCCGCGCCCCACGCCGCGCCCCACGCCGCGCCCCACGCCGCGCCCCACGCCGCGCCCCACGCCGCGCCCCACGCCGCGCGCCTCGCTCCGGCAGAGTCGAAAATGATAGCGCTCGGAAAGCCCGAAAAGCGGCCCGAAGCAACCAGCCGCGCAATTCCGAAAATCATTGTTTTTGTCGCTGTCTCCCTCTAGCACGCATGCGGGTCGCCCCACGAGTGCGAGAGAGACGGCGGCGGCGCGACGAAGCCGCTGTCCGGCCCGTCCGGCCTGCAGCGTTGCGCACGCGGCGCGGCACGCGGGCCGGTTTGGTAATCGGGCCCGGTGGAGCGTTGTCGTGGCGTGACGTCACCGCGGTGGGTGTGCCGCGGCGACACGCGTGCTCCAGCGTGTGCGGCGACGGTGACGCGCGCTGGCTGGGCTGACCGGGCTGGCCGCCTCTCTGGCCATCCAAGCATCGCGCCCTGCGTGCCGCTCCGCTCTTGCTTTTCCAACTTCCTGCCCAATGCCGGTGCCCACACCGTGAAACCAAAACTCCGCACTTGAAATGCGAATGAGTGGAAGTCTCCGCACTTGGAAGTGCAGTTTGCGGTTGCAAGCGTGGAGTTCTCCACGTTGGCACCGTGACAAGAGACAGGGGCTCTGTGAGCCACTCCACACTTTAAAAGTGGAGACTTGTAAACTTCACGCGTCCAAGTGTGGAGAACTCCGCACCAGGAAGTGGGAAGTTATCCACACTTGGTTTGATAGTGTGGGGCCCCCAGAACCCCACGCGCCGAACCCGGGTTTCGAAATTACCGGGTGAAAGCAGGAGTGTTCGGCGAGCCGGTGTCACCCAGACGCCTGCGAACCACGGGGTAGGCAACCCACCCGCTTGTGTGCACGGCTGCGTTGCGGCACTGCCTACCCGCAGGCGATTGCGATTGCGATTAACGGCTGGACCACAAGTGATCGTCTGCCTTTCGGGCCCGCCCTGTCATGTCGGTGATACAGGCGCCTGCGAGCCACGGGGTAGGCAACCCACCCGCTTGTGTGCACGGCTGCGTTGCGGCACTGCCTACCCGCAGGCGATTGCGATTGCGAGCGCCTGCGAGCCACGGGGTGCCTGCGGGTCGCCGGGTAGGCAACCCACCTACCCTGCGCCCTGCCTTCTCCTCCCACTCCGCGGCGCCGCGCGCGCCCCTTGCTCCGAGCGGTGGCGGTGGAGTCCGTCGTTTAGGTCTCTGGCGGCGTTGCAAGCGTTGCACGGCGGGGACGGGGGACGACGGAGCGGCGAGGCATTCTATCGGTAACCAGCAGGTGCCGAGTAGTACCGCCACTGTGGTCGCCTCCCTTCTCCTGCCGCTGCAGCACGTGGTGGTGGAGGCTCAGGCCCCCCTCCTTCTGTCTCTCTACCGCTTCGAGGTGCCCCAGGCCCGCGGTCCGCAGCCTGCATGCAGTCCGCCCGCGAAGGCCTTGCCGGCGCGTCCCGTCCGCAGCCTGCCTCGCGACGTCAGCACGGAGTGCGTCACGCCGTCGCGCCGTGTTTCACGCCGTGTGTCACGCCGTGTGTCACGCCACGCACGTATGGAGGATCGCGACGCGGTGACGCGAGTGTGACGGCGAGCGGTCCGGGCGGCCGGTCGTGGAAAAGTGTCGTGAAGCGTGTTGCGCGTGTGCCCAGCGCGTGTCGCGACAATGTGATGTGCAGTGTAGGAAAGTGAACGTCAAGACGATTCGGATTACCACCGCCAGGCCCGTCCTGCCCAGACCCGACCAATCAGGCCGCACCAGGCCCACTCAATGACGCTGTAATTATCTGCGACTCGGCATCGGCTCGCGTTTGAACAAGTGCGGGCCCGATTCGCGTGCGCTCGGCCTGCCATGCAGACCCGAGATATTTTTAGCACACAAGCAAATGTGAAAATTTCTTTTTTAAAAAATGGAAAATTGTCGGTTTAATAAAACGACTTGGTTACTGCCAATATTTTGACTTGTTCCAAAGAATCTTTTTGAACAAGACGATTTTGCTTTGATTGTGAACAAAAGGCTGCCTATGAAATTCGACGCTGGGTTAACAGACTCGGTGGTTTTGACTTCAGAATGAGTCGTCACACGAGCAGCATAGTTCGTCACTGTGACCTGAACCTCACGATTACCTTTGACCCGGCATTTCATTTCCACACTGCCAACGAAAGGATGGCCTGTGTATTCGATCCGCTCCGCATGCCTTTGACGAGAGAGCGTCTCGCGCAGGCTGCCGCCGCGTCGCAAGCGCGCAAGCCCGACCCGAAGCAGTGGCTTCGTTGCCACACGCGTGGCGCTAATGCGTTTTTGAAAAGACGCGTGTCTCGCTTGCGCGCTGCCTGCCTGCGATGGCGGCTAGTCTTGCCAGGCGCGCGGTATGGGTGTTGGGACGCGGCGACGCCCCTTGACGCCGAACGGTGCTTCGTCGCTCTGTCTCTGTCGCGCCCACGCGGCGCCCCATTAGTGGGAGAGAGAGGGAGCGACGCCCTGCCTAAGTAGGCGACGGCGTCGTCGAAGGCCGCGGGGTGGTTCTGCAGGAATGCGAGGCGTTCCGCCCGACCGGCCGACCGGCGCACTGTGCGGCGCGGCGCCGCGGCTACCGGTGTGCCAGCCTGCCCGGCCTGCCGACGCAAAACTGCACTGTGAGAAAAAAACTGCCGCACCGACAGGCGATTCAAGTGCCGGGATACCGGGTTTTACCTACAGTCGATACCGCACTTGTTGAGGATGTTGCTCACTCCACTGCGATTTGTGGTAGAGGCAAAACGAAACGAAGTGAAGAAAGGCTCTCAAATTCAAATTGAAATTGATGACGCCAAAAGATGCCTCGAGTTTAAAGTCAGTTTTCCTCCCACTTTCCTTAGGTGTGGGAAAAAGTATGCAAAAAATTACATCCACAGCCCCTCTATTTGACGTCAAAAGCCCGAAGGT